CGGAGCTTCGTTACTCCAGGCGTGTTGATGTGTCGAGTAGCCGTTTCGAAGTTCCTATAGTCTTTTAAAGGATATCGGACTTGTCATGGATGGCCACGTGAATATGTATCAACTTTTTGGTAAACTGCATGTGTGACAACATTTGTGAATTTGTGGTTTGATTTGAGTTGCGCCTAATGCAAGTCTGACTTCAGCCTCTCAGTTTCGGTTGGCCTGCCACGGCTCTAAATGCGCAGATCAAGTTGATTTTTCAATGATTCTAACAGTGTTATGTTCATGTCTTTTTGGGCCATGTGCAGATCATCTCTTAGTTTGAATTTTTAGGGTGTCCCGCAATTGTGCCATCCGCAAGGGAATGGGATCCAGCTGATGAAGTTCCTGACCCTCGCTCTGATGGTTTGGTGCCCAGTTGAAGTGGAGGGTGGATTCACAAATTCGTGCTGTAAAGATTAGTTGAATAAGGGGTGAAATTATTTCTTCTGGACACCCCTGACAACCTACTAAGATTTGCGATGTTGGTTCAGTTGGTGTGATATATCTTGAAAGAAACGAGATTTACATGTGCAAGTGGACCCATTAAAATCAAATTAACTAGGACCCAAATGCCAACCCCCAAAGCCATGGTTTTTGTTTAAAAAAAAATGGTGATGATTTGGCGCATTTTTCTAGGGGACCTTATTTGCAAACCACTACAATTTAAATGGACCTTGGCACCCCATTGGTCTCATCTCTGCTGCACCTCGAGGCTACGGTGTGGCAGGTGAGTGAAGGTGCGTCGCCCACCCTGCGCCGGTGCCGGGGATTGTGCAGCAGTTTGATGCTGTGTGTTCCGAACGATATATAGGGAAACCACATGATAAATATTGGATAAGGGATACCAGCTGGAATTCATAGCGAAGAAAATGATAGATTGACCACAACATGGGCGTGAACCAAAGCCACATAATTACATGGTTGGGCATGGTTGTGATCCATTAAAAATGCAGGTTTATAGTACATTCAACCAATCAAATGGTTTTCACCTTCACTTTTTATGCTGTGCACCCTGTTGATCCATGTGCATCAGGGGTTCAAGCCCTGTGTGGGACGTGACCATGGGCCCCAAGATTCCCAAACATCTTGTGGAGCAATATGCTGCTGCGTTTAAGGAGCATGAGCGGTTGAAATCAGTGTCTGGGATAGTACACGGCGTGAGATTTTTTTTTTTAACCTTTACCCCAAGGATGTTTGATCCCACATATATTGTCTTGGAATTTCCAAATAAAAAAAGTACAGATAGATAGATCGATCGATAGAGAGCTAGCTAGGTAGATAGATAGATAGGAAAAGAAAGAAAGATAGATAGGTAGATAGTGTATGTAGATAGGTAGATATCGATAGAGAGAGAGAGAAGATAGTATATATATATATATCTATATATACACCATTTATATATATATACATATCTTTTTAAATATATATATATATTGAATATCAACCCAGGTTAATCACCCTATATAGTTTCCTACTTGGTTTTTGCCACTTAAAAGGGGACATATCAAGAATTTAGCAGCCCTATTTTTTTGAGCACATTGCTAACACTAGACATTCCCCACTTCCTTGAGGTTGGGTTTTCCTTTTTGTTGGACGTCTCCGGAAACGTGTTCAAAAAGAACAAGGTGACACTCCGGGACATCGAGGGGAATAGCGAAGCCATCTTTGCAGTAATGCGAACCTCCAAAGGAGTCGGTCGCTTTAGCAGCATTATCTTGAAGGAGGCCATCTTGCGGTTTTATGAGGATTGTCAACTATTCCCAACAGGGCTCACCTCATGTATGTCCGTGGTGGACACCTGGGCATTGCGCCAGGGGCATGCGCTAAGGCGTTTGGTGACTTATTGGAATGTACTGCTTTCACTTTAGACTTTGAAAAGTTTGGTTGACAGCAAGAGTAAAACAAATATTTATTTATTTGTTTATTTATTTGTTTATAGTCCAGATCAAGCGATGTAGGGACCTGCCCCTCCAATTTTATTGTTGATATGGCTCCCCCAGTGATCAGGCCTTCCATGATCTTGGGAACCAGCATATATCGATGAATCACTGTTGGGATTCTCTGTGTTGACATTGTATATGCACAGATATTCCAGATCTAACATACCCGATAGAAATTTTGTTTGTTGCCATCCATGTTGGACCATTCAAGTTTTCAATTGGATTGATATTTGGGTAGACCCAAAAGTTTTACCTTCCTTTAAAGGGTGCAAAAAATGTACTATGTCAAAGGTGGAAACCCGTCACTGCCCAGGTGAGCCGTTTCCGTCGCCTCTATCGATTGGCTGGCTCCAGCAAGCGGAAGAAGATTACCGACCTGAAGCGCTCATTGGTGGGCTTTGTGGCAGCTAATCTCACATGACTTTGGGGGGGCAACAGTGTTTTGGGTGAGGAAATTCCAGGAAAAAATCCCTATATGAAAATTATGAGGAACTCTCACATTGTGAAAAGCATTTGAATCAAGTACAAAGATCAGTCAACCAATTTTATTCCAGATAGGCATCCTATAATTTAGATAAACACATATTAATTATATATTTTATATATGAACGTGTGTGTGCATGATCTGAGCGTGACTTCTATTGCTTTGGCGCCCAAGGACTTCAAACCTGGAGAAAGCCATCCCGATGATGATGAGGATGATTGCGAAGATGATACCCCTCTTGGAAGTGTGGAGACACTTTCTGAGCTTTCTGAAACGGTGACTTGATTGCTGGAATATTGCCAGCAAATACCTTTTAGATTTTCACAGGATATGATATGTGTATACATGTAAATAACTATAAATATGTGTATATATATATATGTGTGTGTTTGGGTGTATTCTCTATGGAGTAGAAGAATGGTTTACCCCCAGGTGTGTTCCTCCCTCCATTCCCCATATGAGTTCACATGTACATCAATTGTATGGTTAAAGGTATATATGTTGGCATGTTTTTCGTATGACCTGACCCTGCAGTCGAGCAGTGGAGCACTTCCAGACTTGGCGATGAAGAACCCAAAGGATGAGCAGTTGTCAGCGTTGGCTGTACAGTTGAAGGAAGCTAAGCTGCATGCAGCATCTACTCAGGAGAAGAAGGCTGGGACCCCAACACGAAGATTTTTGATTTCAATCAACTACATACTGGTAAACCTGTCCGGGGAATGTAGTTTTGAAATCACTAACAACGGTGCGGGACTTGAATACGGTCCTTCAGATATGGCCCAATTCATTTCTTAAAATAACTAACCCAGACCAGGGTTGGACATATACTATAATACCCCAGAAGCTTGATCCGGGTCAAAGGATAGTAGATAGCCCCAATAAGGAAAAACATACTATAAGTCATAATTTGGGAACACGCGCACGTACACACACACACAGATATATATATATATATTGTATATTTTCATGATTTGAGATATCTATTCAATATCCTAGGGTGCGATTGCCCCACTTAAGAAACCATCTTCCCCACTGCCAGGCGACGGCCGATGACAACGTCAAGGACCTGACTGGCTTGGCTGCTGCTCTCAAAGCTGCTGCTTCAGAGGCGAGTGCATCACCTGAGCAGTCCCATGCTTTGCCACCCTTTGTCCCTCTTATGCAAGGGGTAGGGGAACACACGGGGTCTTAGAATGCTTTTTTTAGACTCGTTAGCGTATGATGGGCCCAGTTTTACTGATTGGTCATTCGCAATGACAGCGATCACTGAAATATATATATATATATATACTGAAGGATTTTTGTTTATTCATTTATATTGGGGGTCGCCAGGAAAACACAGAAACATTGTTGGAAAAGGCGTTCTTTACCTGATGTTATATGGGGATACTTTACATACCAGTTCATCAAACAGGTAACTTTTTTCAGGACCAGTCCCTGATAATTGTAAGAACAATGGGAAGTATGACGGGTGCCCCACATAAAAGTCAATATTCACGCTTGTATTGAGGTGAATTAAGTGGATCATATTTTAACCCTCTCATATCGGTGATCATCTCTCATCCACCATCGGGGCTTTTCCGATTTAGGTACTGAAGACCCTTGCGTCTCCACCTGCTCCCAAGCCTTTTGCCATCAACAAGAAGTACAAAGCCAACATGGTCGAAGTTGAAGATCAGGGGGAGGGACAGGATGGGGAACCTTCGTGTGAGCCCCCTGCGAAAAAACAGAAGTGCCGAAAGTCCCAAAAAGGGCCCCGAGCAAAGGGAACCCCAGTGGCTGCAGCAGACTCCTGCGCTGCAGCCGGTGCATATGCTCCGAATGACTATAGTAAGAAGAGAACTGAGTTCATCCGAAACTTGAAGGATGAAGGTGTTTCCCATGCAGATGCTAACCAAAGGTGGAATGATAGTGCCTTGAAGAAGGAACTTCTCAGTACCCTTTCGGTGAGCGAATTAATTCGGAGGAGGTTTTGCCCAGCAGGGACCACAAAAAACCCTTGGGCGTAGGTGACTTTGTAATGTGAAATTGGCGTTGCAATATGGCACGCCTCTTCAAACAAATTCAAATGGCAATTCAGGGCTTCTTATCAACATCTTCAATTGTGCAGTGTTGAGGCCCAGGGAAAAATGGTCAAATAGTTGTGTGTTTACTGCGGGTCCAATTTAAGGGATGTTTTTGTTTCATCAAATGCATCATATATGGGGACCCTTGGAAAAGCTTGGGATTGGCCAACTTGAGGCAAAGCATTGCAACATTGTGTGTGTGCATATGTTCATGTAATGTGCATGGTTGCATAGCTATACATGCATGTTCCGGATGTACCATATATATATATATATCTCTCTCTATTTTATATATATATATATATATATATGCAGAAGCTCAAGAATAATATCAAACCATTTCTTGGCTACATATTGTTTATCTTCGTCCTTGAGACCATGGTGAAAACATGACCAGAACCACCTATGTGCGGTTGCAACCAGTGGGGATCAAACCTAGGGCCAAAAAGTTCAGTACGGACTTCCCTATCTTAAGGGATGATTTTGGACTTCCAACGATGGTCTATGCCACCGGTGCTCCAGCTGCTTTGCATGCTTTTAACCTTCAACGTGAAGGTGGATCACTCGCCGGACGTGCAGTTTGTGGAAGTCTTTGCTGGGGTTGCTGAGATCAGCCGGGCTTGCCGAGCTGAGGGCATGGTGGGATCTAGCCATGACATCTCATACTCCTCGCACTTTGATTTGTGCAATCGTACTGGGTTTCTGTACCATGGCTGATTTTAGGAAAGTTAGGCATAGCCTTTTGAACCCGAACATATGGTTGGATCCGGTTTTTACAGGGTTTGTTTTGTGTCGCTTATGGTAATTGGTAATTTCCCTGCAGATATGGATGGCAAGTGCTGCAAACTTTTATCCTCTCTACAATGTCTGTATGAACATCGTATATATATATACTATGTATATATATATGTATGTATACGGGCTATACAGACCATAAATAATATAGCGAAACTTACAATCAGGATTGGATCCCCCCACTGAAGCATTGCACTTATATCCCACTTATATAAATTCCCTTCCGTATAGCAAACATACGACATGCCATGTCTCCGCTCCTGCCAGGCTGGCCATCAACGAGCTCCTTCGTGCAGTACCTGGCTCGCTGTGCATCTTCGCATTGTGTTGCAACAGCTATTGCCGTATGTGCCCTGGATTATATTATGCTGGGATCAAATGGATATGGATCAGCTTCTAAGTGACTTCAGCTACTTCAATATTGTGTGTACTTTTAGTATATGGCTCGCATCAATATAAGTGGAATCCCAAATTGATATTTCCAAATTTTGACGGTTCAGATTTGCAACCAGGAGTCGGTCCACTAGTGGTCGTGGCATTTTATTTCCGCTTGGGGATACGTCCAAAAGATTTGTGAGGGAGGGAAATTTACTGGCGAGCCGGCTGGTTTTGATGCTATGGATTTGCGCTTCCCGCAATCTGATCTGGCTGGTGGAGCAGCCTGAGGGGAGTGCGTTCCCATTGCATCCACGGTGGCAGGAATTTTTGGAGTACTGCCCAGCCCCTTGCTGCAGAATTAGTTTGATCTTGTTTCAACAATCATCAAATGATATAATCCGACAAAAGTGCATAGAAGTTGACTTTTATTGCTTTAAATTGAGAGTCAAATCTAATACTATATAGTGGCCTACGCAGAATTCTGCGGGGGTTCAAAAGGGGGGGTTCGTGCCCTGAGCTGCTCAAAATGGGCCAAAGGGGTGGCTTTATTCTCCTTAACCTTGATTCCCAAACATTTAGGTTTTTGGACCCAACAGTTTGGTGGGATCACATCATTTGGCTGTACGGAGGCTTTCACCACCTCATTTTGGATGGGTGCTTTCAGTGGTCCTACGGCAAAGCGCCACCGATTGTGGTCAAACTGCCCCAAGTTTCTCGAGGGAATCTGGGAGGCTGGGGGTAGCATGTCGCGAGATGCACTTCGTGCTTTGCCCGGAGGGCCACTGGTACGGAAATATAAGGACAAGAACGGAGTTGCTCGATGTTCTGGGTTGAAGGACAAATTGAAAGCTTCCCAGTTACTCGGTGCCTATTTAGCACTGGGTTTGTTGGTTCAGAAATAATTTCAGTTGTTCTTAATTGGGGTACATGTCCATATGGGTAAATAACATGCGTTCCAACCAGACCGGTTTGATTTCATGGACGGTTAAGATATGGGCGGATTCTAAGCTTGTTTATTGTTGGGCTGTATATATACTCCCGGGGGGCTCCATTATAATATACCAAAAAAATGGTTCGCGAACCCAACCATAGGTCAGTGGGGGATTCCGAACCCATGTTGTGACTGTGCTTTTTTAAATTTATGGTGTCACGATATTTCCACTATAACCCCGTTCACAAGTGCCTTTTAAGGAAGAGCAGCCCTTCAAATTTAACCCAAAAAGCAAACCAGAAACCACCACAATTTTACATTTGACCCATTCGTGGCTGTGCTCAGGGCATACACGCCCGAGTTTGGTGCCAAAGTCGCATCACTGGCCAAGGATCTTCGTCAGGCGAAAGGGTAATGATATGTTCTTGACTGTTCTTGTTCCGATGAATCTCATGATTTTGGGGAAATCCCGGTATCTTGATCTATTTGAAAGTTTGACAATATGGACCCATCTGACGATCACAGGTGTATATTTATATAGTTATATAATATATATTATATATATATATTATTTTAATGATGGTGAGGGCAAAATTATAAATATATATATATATATGAATGTATGTATTCAAACAAATTCAAAGATCTTCCGGTTACCTCAATCAGTCAATGGACCCAATTCGATCCTTTTGCCAGCGAACCAGCCCCCATGCAAATGTTATTCCTTGTGAGATTGGGTTGCATAAGGATGCTATCCCCTGAAGCTTCTTGGCAGTTAAAGCTAGGTGTTCAGTTCTATTTTGTTGGTTTATGAGAGGATCCTCGTATAGCATTTGCTAAGAGATATATATGTCCTAATACTTGCTTGTCTATATGATATGTTTTTTCATTGCTATATATACATCGGCTATTGACACCCTTCACATAATATACATTAAATCATCGTATATATATATATATAAATATGTGTATGTAGCAGGATCTACTTCTCTATATTTTTTCCAAGGTATATGCCTATATTGCTCTGGCAGGAACCGCTGCCACCTCCCAAAGTTGATGCCGGCATTGATGTGGGGATGGGCGACTATGAGCTGTTCCAAAAGTTTGTCCTACCGAATGGGGGCCTCTGCCTTCTGGGGGACATGTGGCCTGATGCCCCTAGGAGAATTAATGATTATCTTATGATTTTTTTTTGGATAGCTTACTCGAATACTTCTATTTCAATTGTGGGCACTATAGATACCCCCGTTGAAGGTAGAATTCGCCCATCTTCCTTGCTTTTGTCGGCCCAGGCTCACCTCGACGACTGCTTGAACTACTTGGGGGGCTGCAAATATCTTGATCCTCCTGGGCGGTGGGAATCTTGCCAATTGATGGCGCGATAGCCCATGGCAGGCTTGAAAAACAAACAAATATATATATATATATATATATTGGCATATATGTTAGCTGGCCATAGATTGGGTCGTTAATCCCGAAATAGATGTCAGGGGATTGTGGGTATTATCCAAACCACTTGTGACCTTATAACACACAAAATTTTGAGAGAATTAAATTATATATATATATATGTTCATCTCTATATACTTATATATATATATATATTACTTAACTCATATATATTTATATATACTTATATATACTTATATATATATATTGATGTACGAAAGGTCATTGAATGCACATGCTCACACACGGGCCAAGGTTCATGATATATAGTATCTGTATGAATGGGGCGTGCAGGTTGAAGAAACCCACTTGTATATATTTAATATAGAGAAACAAGCTTTGGATTTTTCAGGATTCCCCGTTAAATAAAGGCGACGTGATTTTCATGGGTATATCTTCTCTGACAGAACCCAAGCCTAGGGTTTTAACCTAACAGCCATCTTCATATATGCCTATTCAGTTTAATCCCCAAAGTCTTTCGAGAACCTTCCATGAAACCAGGTACCCGGTGGTCAAATTTGGGAGCCCTGCCGGCCACCGTTCTGAGGAAAACGCGATCAAGTCTTTCAACCTGCCGATCCAGCGATTTGAACGGCCCTGCAGTTCTTTCAGCTGAAAACCATGGGTCCAAACTGAATTTTCCAACAATGGGGTCGGTGGGATGATGTAAAACGTATTGGTCATATACAATCAATACAAATATGATGTTTTGTACATGCCCACCCCACTGTTGGCAGCATTCAACCAGTTGCACACAGAAATTTGCCCAGTTGTCATCAAACACACTGGAACCTACAAGATTTCCATGGTCGGTGCAAAAAAAGGTACCGTGAAAATCCGTGAAATGAACGTGAAAGAACCCCATTTTGACGTGAACGAACCGTGAAAACCGTGAAAGCCCCGAATCTGGAATTTAGCTTGATTTTTGCGTGACATTTTCCTGGATATATGGTTGACAGACCTTTGCGTCATTGTAGCCAATTTTTGGTTTAAGAGGGTTTCGACGGGATCTATGGCTTTACCAAAGCTACCCTTTCCTATAGCTGAGCTTGGATGGGACAAGTTTGATCAAGTCCAGAAGGCGGCCAATCTTAGTCCGGAAGACTGCATGGTTGTCATGAGACTGGCATGCGGAGATCCACCTCCTGGTTTTGATTCTTGATCATTTGCCAAATGACGTTTTCAGACATTTATAGCTTGATTTTTGTTTTCTCCCAAGAAGATCTGTCCAAGTTGAAATAGAAACAGGTATATTGCATGACCGGACTAGCATAATTTTTTTGGTCTTAATTAAATTTGACTACCATATATGGGAAAACCATAGGCCGTATAATGGACGTCCATCCATACTGGTCCAGGGCTCCCAGCATCCCGCTTTGCGTATCCAAGGACCTTGGGGCACCGGCGGGTCAGTCACGGCCCAAAAAAAGCACAGCAGCAAAGTCCAAGCCGAAGGCAGCAGCAGTGAAGGCAAAAACCAAGAAACCCACACCCAAGGTGAAAAGCAAGGCGAAGGCAAAGGCCAAATCCAAGAGTGCAGGTGGCAAAACGGCCAAGGCCAAAGCAGTAGTCAAGAAGAATTCAAAGAAAAAGGAGAAGGAACCGGAACCTGTGAAGGAAAAGGAACATGAAGGAGAGGAAGAGGAACCGACAGATGATGATGAAGAGGTAGAGGAAGAGGTACCTGTTATCATGAAACGCCCAGCAGCCAAGCCAAAGAAGGTCGCAGCAAAGGCCCCTGAGGCCACACCCCCGGAAGTCCCGATGGAGGAGGAACCCCTGAGGCAGAAAAAACCTCCCATCCAATGCCCCCAATTTGATGGACTAATTGGCTCACCCCCAGGTGAAGGAGCCCCAGGTGTTGCTAAGGATGAGCAGTCAGTTGTTGCCCCCAGTGTGGCTGAGCCTGCGGCTGGGCTTCCGGGTGCGCCCGCGGCAGCTCCACCTTTGAAGCGCATGAGAACCGAAGGTGGCGACACCCTATGGTCCCCTGCCTGCAAATTTGGGTGATTTGGGGTGGTTTCCCCAGTTCCATTTTCGATGATATATACTATACATACACAGACTATATAGTATATATATATATATATATCAATCAATCAATCTATCTTATATTTTGAAATCAAGAAAACATATGTATAAATTTAAACCGGACAAAGAAATACACAACATACATATCTATCTATATCTATCTATCTATATAAATATATAAATATATAAATATATATTTGCATCTGGGATAATCATATAGCTGGGTGTCTGGAATTCCGGGGATTGATCCAATGAGTGAATATATGGGTGTATTATGGTATATATGTGCGATATCTAATAGGATCGATGGGTTGCATAATTTAGCTGGCCAGGGTATGTAGAACCACCAGATACAGTTTCTGTTGTGTTCGAAGACGGGCTTCGACAGAATAGTTTGCCCCTTTGATCACTCTATGTGCATATTTCACATCCCAAAACATTGATTTATTTGGGTGATGGTACTCGGGGTTTTTATTTGCTTAAAATGTAGCACCCAACGTAAGATATCATCAATAATATATATATAGCTAAGTCATATGACTAAACATATATATATATATAAATACCCCTCCTAAGGTCATGCAACACCTTGCAACATGGTCTTGATCTGGTTGCTAACCAGCGGAATGCGCCTGGTGATTCTTTGCCTCCACCGGCACCTGAGATGGTGGATTCGCAGGATGGCCAGTCACAGATCTCACTGCCGTCCACGCTTCCGTGGCTGGGATTTAACAACATGCATAAGATTAAATGCGTTCATTGTACGAAACACACACACACACCATATATCGAGCGCGCGACTCTTTGTAAAAAGGGTTCGTTGTGAAAAGAGCTTAACCTTCGAAGTTCTGGAACCATGAAACCATCTTGAAAGTGCTGGTTGCTGATTGAATAAATTGGTTTGGAACTACGAAGTATGGTCACATATCCCTCGGTGTTTCTGCCCCTAATCAGGTTGGGTGCTAGTGTCACAACATTGCCAGCTACGACTCTCGAGCTCGAGTTGCAAGCGAAGTTGGCTGCAGCTCAAGCACAAATCAATGCACTGATGGAGCAACGTGACAAGCAGCAGGAGGGGGGGTTCATTGAAGCCAGGAATGAGATGTATCGCCGTATGGATGCAGAGTTGTGGGACCAATCCATCTTACAGGACCATTTGATATTTTCAAACTTTTCCGGTATGGATTGTGTTCTTTCCATATATGCCAAATACTGTTACCCACAGTAAACTTTTGTTTCCTGTTTTACCTTTTGCTTTGACCTATTGTGTTCTTTTCCCCTGCAGAGGATGGAACACCTACTTCGTCTCTGAAGCGCAAGATGGAGCATAAAGATGCCAAGAATGATCTGCAGAAGATTCGTGATGAAGCGGAGACCCATGAACCGACTTTGCAGATTGCATCTCCGGAACTGACCCAGGCCACAAACACACAGGAAGGAAAACATGGTGATCCCAAGGATGTTGAAACCATTCCTTCGCCCAAGGAGGATGATGATGGTTGGGGGGGAGGCCCAAGTGAGCCCAGTGGATCCCAACCGCCCATGCCGCCCCAATCCAACACTCCTGGTGATGCGAGTGATCCGCCCCAAGATGGAACCAACACGGCAAAACTGCCGAAAGCACACGTGTTTCAAACACCTTTGAAGACACAGCCTGTGGTGGTTGGTGCCACTTTGACACCACCAGTGGGCACGCCAGTTCCAGCAGCAGGGACTACTCTACCTGCACCTGTTGCCAAGGTACCTGCATTACCAGCACCAGAAGGACCCAAAGTACCTGCAGTACCAGCAGCTCCTGCCGGATGTCCTGAGCCTGCACAAGTTGTTCCCAAAGCACCTGAAGTACCTGAAGCTCCTGCCGAACCTGGAAAAGCTGTTCCTGCAGTACCACCTGCAGAAGATCCTCAAGTACCAGCACGTGCACCTCTTGATCCCACAGCACCCGCACCACCTCCTGCCGAACCTGGACAACCTGCAGTAGCACCTGCAGAACATCTTGGAGTACCAGCACATGCAGCAGCTCCTGCCGAACCTGGACAAGCTGTTCCCAAAGTACTGCAGTACCAGCGCAAGCACCTGTTGGTCCCAAAGCACCTGCAGCAGCTCCTGCCGCACCTGGACAAGCTGTTCCCAAAGTACCTGCAGTACCAGCGCAAGCACCTGTTGGTCCCAAAGCACCTGCAGCAGCTCCTGCCGAACCTGGACAAGCTGTTCCCAAAGTACCTGCAGTACCAGCGCAAGCACCTGTTGATCCCAAAGTACCTGCAGCAGCCCTTCCTGGAACGACTCCGGAACTACCCGCTGTGCCCACAGTACCTGCAGTACCAGCACCTGATGTCGAAGCAGTGATGGCAAGTATGGGAGCAGGCAATGGTGATGGGAGCCCAGAAGGTGCACCGATTCCAGCAGAGCTGGCTTCGCTCATTTCTACATCAGTTCATGGTTCTCCCGCTGGCGCAGTGGAACCTACACCACCTGGACAAGTACCACTTGACCCGAGAGTGAACACGTCCACCAACCGTGCATCGGCTATGCGACTCAACAGGTACATGGAGTCCGCAGAAGGTGCCCGGTTCCCCCACATGCAGAAGCTTTTCCAGGGTGACAGCGCCGACGCTTTCAATCTTAAGGGTGTATTCCAAGGCATTTTTAAGGGATATGAGTTCACACATATAGACATATAATTCTATATATTCATTTGGGCGTATTCGTTTGTAAGATATGCACATACGGGTATCAAATTATGTGTATACTTATTGTAACGCTATATATGTAATTATATATAGGTTTTTCCAAACTGGGATTCGTTGGTTATTTTTTTCGCCTTTAATTTTTAGAAACATCAGGACAAGCGAAAGCTTTTGCAAACTTGGGTGGCGGAAGGTGAGAACCGAAATGCCTGTGAATCACGTGTTGTTATCTCCAGGGAGAATGCCAACATCTACCGGGGCCAGAGGGAACTCATTTCAGTCCGGGACATGATTCTGGTGAAAAAATGGCCGATGGAAAAGATTCAGGGAATCATCCGAAGAGGCCAAGGGATCCCCGACCAAGACGCCCCTGATGTGCCAAGTCTGACCCAATACTGGGTCTATACGAGCAGGACCCAAACAGAGGAAGATGCTGTCAGGCAACGGTCTGAGACACAGATTGCGGCCCAAACCACTTCGGCGGGTGTGGGAGCCATGATGGCTGCCAATGTTGGCCCAATTCAACCACGTGTGACCATCAACCAAGACCAACTGGCAGCGATTACCGAATCGACGCAGCCATGTGAACCAGAAGGCACGATTTTTCAAACTTTGGGAGGGCGGGGAGGAGGAAGGAAAAAAAAGGTTCCAACGGAGAAAAAACAACTTGTAATTAATGGTTGGTTTTCCAATCCAAGAAATTGTTTGCAACTATATACTGTTTACCCCAGGGTTACCAAACCATGCAGGTAAACTTTGACATCCAATTTACCCATAAAAATACATGTTCATGAACCATATCAACAACTAAAGAACATATATAAATAAATATGTGTACAACTGAGATGCCTGAAATTAAGATAGGATTGCGTATTTACACACATATATACATGTATCATGTACATACATATTGTTATACATAAGCACATGCGCACACACATAAATATATATATATATATATATTTATATATATATAGATATTTGCATGTACATATCCCCTTTTTTGTATTTGTTCAAAATGCAATAATATATATATATATATATAGATAGATACGTACGTACATACATACATAATCATACATACACATACATACACATATTTTTATATATATATATATATAAACACATGTTGCCGTGCATGCGGCCAATCAGGCAGGGCACTCGCGAAGTCCAAGGCGAAGGCGAAGGCGAAGGGCGGTGCAAAGTCCTCCGCTCGGCCGAGCTCGCAGGGAGTGACTCCGGTGGAGCCCCAAACCCCTGAGGAGTTGAAGGCATCTCTTGGTGCCTCGCCTATCTGTATATAGATATATTTACACACACATATATATATATACTTGCCTATGGATCATACCAGGAAGGAATATTTATTATCCACATGGTTTGGGGCCCACATATGTACATGCTCAATAACCAAACATATGATCGTTTTTTTGGACTACCAGCGGTGAGGTGCTACCATCAAGAAGGAGCTAGCCACCATGTCACTGGCTTTGGATCTACCAAAAGATCATGGACTCCGTGTTACCATTGCGCAGTACAAGCAGCGGTTTGAGGACTATTCTGATGAGTACCTTTCTTGAAATATATCAACTCTTTGTTTCGGTCCTGCTTGTTTTTTGAAATGCACTCATATTTCTGTCATATGTTTTCGGGAAAAAAATTGACATATCATAAATATGGGGGTACATTTTGAAACATTTTTCGGGGTTGTCTGATGCGAAAACATTCCAGGTTGAAGAGCATGCACACTCCCGAGAACTTAAGCAGCTTGAAGGAGGAGCTGGCTGAGTCTGTTCCTAGACATTCGAACGATTTGGGATAGTCTTCTCATGTAAGAAATTTCCCCCTTGGTAACTTTACCCAGTGGAAACTTATCTGGTTTAACTGGTTTAGAATTAATGTGAAGCTTATCCCATTGGATCGAGCCCCAATGGAGAAGTGCCCCTTAACGAAAAATGAATTGTAAGGGGAAGTCTATCTTTAGCCCCTCCCTTTATAGATCACCAAAAAAAATCAGGTCAACAGCTACCGGATGGTCAAAGCCCAGTGCAAAGCCGTCCTGTCGGAGCTCAAGAAGCAGACGGCCTGAAGCGCGCATTGGATGATGCTAAGATTTTGAGAGCCACATGTTAGATGCAGGGTAGCCAGGGTTGGAAATATCTTTTGCGATCCCCATAGCCTGCAGTCCATGAATAGAAACTGGAAACTATATTGTTGCAGGCATTTTGCAGCTTACCACTTTGTAAAACTGTTTTTTGAAACTGGCTGCGGGAGGGGGTTCATGATTCATGAGCCTTGGTTCATGGGAGCCATCGAACTGGCTTTTTCGTGAGTTAGGCATCATCATTGCACCAGCACCCTTCGATGGAACATGGTCGAAAATAAGTGACTACATTATGGAAGGAGGTTTTTGGGATTCCAAATATATATATATATATATGGTTCCAGATAACATGTAATTTCTGGAAACCAGACATCCCAAAAGACGATAGTAATCCCAAAGTGTTTTTTACAAATTCAAATTTGTGTTTTTACCCTGGAATCTGATATATTAACCACAAGGAATATATGTTAAGCATTCTTTGGCACATCCAGCCAGCATTGAGACCCCCACGCAGGGACATGGACCGATCCACGTCGTGAAGATCAACTTCGCGAATTGCACGATGTGTTCTTTGCCTGGGATGGCAAAGTCTTTGCTCTTGCTTGGCTTCGCAAATTGGCATTTGAAACTGTACTAAAAATGACCAATATAGAGAAGTGTTCTCATTTGGATCCTCATTTTTTACAACATATAGGCATCACCTACTTGAAACTCTTTTCAAGATCGGTTTCATGGTGGTTATATTTGGAGTTCACTAGGGCGCATTGCGTATTTGATCCCAGTAAAACTATTTATATTTAGGCCAGGAAATCCTTCAATGCTGCAGGTTATCAAGTGGCATTGGCTCGGGTGGATCATCGGTGGTCCATGCCCGTAGAGTTGGGGACATATTTGGATCAGAAGTTTATCACATGTATCTCGGTTTCGTTGTGGATGATTTTCTTGTACTTTTGGGAGGTGTCAACCCCTCAAAAACACATTCATATTTTTAACCTGAGATGTTTTTACCCTGCAGGGGAAGTCGACATGAAAACCGGGTCCACAGAGCTGCTCGAAGGCATGGCTTGACGATAGATGTTGAACCCTCTTATTTCGAGATACCCCTTTGCACTGATCAAGATTCGGGTACTGTGGAAATGGTGGCGTGGCCATTTCTCTTGCCGAATGTTTTAGCATCTCCGCTGAATTCGTGAAAACAGTTTCTCTTGATTTAATCAGTGTTTCTGGAAAGTAGTTGGGTTAAAAGTAATGTAACATATGTATAATCCCCTTTACGCAATATCCACAACAATACATAATAATACCGTATGCAGGTAATAAATATAGCTTCAATACTTCCACCATATAAATATATATATATAAAGATATACACATGCGTGTGCGCTTTTTTGGAGGCCAACATCTGCAGTACAATCTGCTTCTGTCAGTTTAATGAAAGCTATGCAAAAATAAAATGGCATCATATGTCTTTTGATATATATATATGAATGAATATTGATATATATATATATATGCCCGTTCAAACCCACAGTGATACCACTGATGGTCCCAGGTAAGGGCAATGGTGAGTCATGGCTTTCTACGATTACTTGGTGATCTACAACGCTTGGAAGGTTACTGGAACCAATTGCTCCGGGACTTCCCTGAGCACCCTGCCCGTGGGAAGGAAACTCGATCCATCCCTTTGACACTATATGGTGCCCCGTCCCAAAAAAAAATCCTTTACTATATTTTACTATGTTTGGGTGTGCCATTAGTGGGTATACTATATTGTACAATTATATATATATATATATTTATGTATCAAGTCTTGATTGCCCTTAGACCCCAATAAAATATCTGTAGTTATATAAGTTTTCTTGGCCTGTGTTTAAGACCCCTTAGGTGATGAGGGGAATGCTCTTGGGGGCAGCTGGATGACCTTTCATTTTCAGCCCGATCTGAGCCCACTGCTCAGCAATAGTGCCTGCAGCCGGTATCTGATCACCACAGTGCCTTCTTCCATGTGCCTAGTCGAACATGAAAAAGATAGAAAATCGATGTCATCCAATTAATCACCTCATTGGACTTTTTTGTTTTCAACATCGACCCAAGAGGGAATGAAATAGATCACCATGTTGTGTTTGACCACTGGCTGCCAAGGTATGTCTACGATGAGGATGGAGTGAATGTCACTCTACAGGCAGTTGGCGCCATTATCCGGGACTCCATCAACGATCTTGGAACACGTGGATGTACGATTCGGGATGAGTCTGGTGACACTGCATCTTTTTTGCGGCATAGCCCAAACAATGTTTAGGGTTGTTGGGTCCTTTTCCTAATAAAGCTCCCAATTCAGAGCTGCAAATCAAAAGTTCATTTCCCCACAAGACAACAGTTGCATCACTGAGGTATTGGATCTTCAATTCTATCTGGTTAATTTCAAGGGTGATTGGAAATACATTAGCCAACTCTTCTGCCTGGAACGGTATGCAACTCGGGAGGAGGCCTGGGTGATCCAAACCATCTCATTTAGCGCCACACCATCGCATAGACCTGGGAAAATGTTTTCAAATTTGTTTGGGAAAGCAAGACCCTGCATCCCCTCAAGGTGTGCTGGAAATGTATGGCAACAAAAGGTACTAGTGATGAGAGCTGGTCCTATAGCAATGTTAGTGACGATGCGCCATGGAGATCAACAATGTATTCCCAGCTCCCATGGCCCAATCATGTGGTGCCATCACTGACAAGCGTATTGGGCTTCTCACTCAAGATGATTGGTGTAGATATTCTTCATATCTGGCATCTAGGTGTGGGGAGGGACCTCTGTGCAAGTGCCATACGCATCCTTGCCTCCAAACGTGGTTACTGGAGAGGCCGTAACCAGGAAGAACGGTTGAAGACTGCCACACAGAGATTGAAATGGTATGCGAAACAGAATCGCCATTCTCTGGCGTTGTCAAAGCTCTCCAAACAGAGTCTCTCATGGAAAACAGATGCATTCCCAGAACTCAAAGCGAAGGGATATGATTGCTTCGTTGTACTTCGATGGCTGGTGTGGGAAGCTGGAAACAAAGATATTGGCAATGACACTTTGGCAACCGATACTTATGCTTGGTTTAAGACGAAAATGTTGGGAAACAAATTCATTCGATACCCGAAAATTGTATGTTTCTTTTATCAAACCTATTTGTTTTTTTAGCCTGTCCGGGTCCTTTGCTGAGGCACTATGGAGTGCTGACTGCTGGTTGAATCTATTGGCAAAATCCAGTATGTTCTTGAGCGACCTTGAAGAATCAAACCGGTTGACATTGGGAAGATTGATGATCAACACATACGCATGTCTTGCCACACATGCTGTTGAAAACAAACAATTTCTGTTCCGGCTTCGGCCAAAGTTTCACTTGTTGCACCACCTGACCATCGACACAAGACCCTCAAATCTAAATTCGAACATCCACGCCACGTGGATTGATGAAGATGGTGTTAAAAAATGGATGAGGATCAAACGGCAAGTCCATAAGCGGACCGCCACAATCAGTGTTATCCAGCGTTTTGTCTTGGGACTCCGAACCACTCTGGCACGGGGCATGGAACTTGCCCGGTCGAGCCAATGAAGGAAAAAATGCTGGGCACAGGCGCAGGGTGATTCCCAGACTTTCATGGCACTCGATCTCTTCCACCTTAAAGACTGGTTTGGAAATTGGAACGCCCCGTGTTTCTGGGGAAGTATATTTAAAACCCAGAAAATGTTCCCTGGTTGGTCTTCAGTGGGATCTAGAATTTTTCATATACCCCAAACAGTTCTGGGATGCCTAGACTAGCCATGAACATATGTTTGTTGGATTGCTGAAGGACAGTGACCCATCCAAAAAAGGGTACAAACAATTTCTTACCCAAAGATTGTGGGGACAGTATTTTTGAAAACCCAAACCAAAACATAATATGTTCAGACATGTGTATGTACAAATATATGTAAATATTTGTATATAGATATATATATATATATTTATTTATTTATATTTATATATATGTACATACATATATACATAAACATACAGACTTTTTTTTTGGCCCAAGCGCTGCGGGTAGAATGTCTGAACAGGCAGGCATCCTTTTCTCTCTGTTGTGTTACAGCATGCTGCCTCTGAAAAGGCATTAGCCAACATCACAGATGGTGCCAGCAACACTGCTTGCTGGAAGGGAGGGGCATCCCTATATGGCTCAAGTTCACATTGTGCCAGCCAATTTTGAAGCTGTTGACACAACAGTTTAAGGATTGGATTCATGTCTTCTTGGATCTTGACAAGATTTATTTGGCGAAGGAAAAATATCAGCCATATAGAGCGTGAAAGTGCGTGAGAAAATTGTAGCTTGGCCCTATCTGGTTCGAATGACCATATGTACCAGATAAACGGGTACAAATGGCACTCTAGGCATGATCAGTCTGGACGAATGCCTTTCGAGCACTCTCACGCCGGGCCAATTGCAATCGGAACTGCACTCCTTGGGCCGACTCTGAATCGGCAAGCATGTGGGCAGGCAAAAGTTCGTCACTGCAGTTGGAACCTGGCAGCCTTGTCTGCTTACCTAACACAAGGATTTCCGGCGAAAAACCCTTTCGGATGCTATAGGCATTTTTGGCCTGAACACACCACCAAAGCCCTTGTTTGAGGTCATGATATGTGTGTACTGCATGTTCTGACTCGTACTTGGTCAACATGGATTGTAGTATGGATCCGTGTCTTTCGGCCTTGCCATTTTGGAAATGAGCTTCTGTGCTGATGGTCGTCATGTGGATATTGTGTGCCTGTGCAAAGTTGGTGACTTCTTCAGAATTGAGTTCTGTGCCGGCATCTATGACCATCTCATGAGGTGTACCGGCCCACATCAACCAAGACTGTAAAAAGCATTCAAGGAAAGCATCGGCCGCACGTGATGGGGCTATGCTGGCAACCTGAAAGCTGGTGGCACTGTCCACAAAGTGATAAACATGAAACCCTTTGCCTTGAGCATTTGTCCAAGTGAAGCCATCCACATGAATCCTGTGATTAAAATCCAGTTCATCCCTCAGGTTTCCAGGTGCACCCGGCTTTGGCGATTGCTGTGCTTGGCACACTGAGCATTTCAGCTCCAAGGCTGCACGCGCTACTTCAGGTCGGAATCCCTGCTGACGGAGGATACTGCTGAATTTTTCGGCATGAGGGTGGCCCAAGTTCTTGTGCGCTCTGATCAAGGCTTGTTGTTCTTCCTTGGTGAGGCTCTTGAAATGTGTTGATTGATTAACCATCTTCAAATCCGCCTGCTGGGATTCAGTCATGTCTCCGATTGGATTGGGACTTGCGGCCGGTGCGGATTCGGAGTCCTTCGCCTCCGATGCACTGGGCCTTTCGGCCGGCGGGGCAATCACTGAATTGGGTGCAGTGGGGTCAGTGGGATCTATCCGAGATTCACTGGCCTCGGGAACAGTTGGATTGCAAGCGAAGACTGTCATATTCAATTTGCACGGATGGGAGGCTCGAATAAGCTGTCTTTTGGAAAGGCTTTCCCAAGATTCCCATGATTCATCGGCCTTATGCTTACCAGTGTTACGTTCTATGAACACACATCTTCGATAAGGGGCTTCACCTTTCATGAGATCCTGTGGTGGTGCAATAGTCCGATTGGTTCCTCGGCATACGATGATTCTGCGAATCTCTTTGTCTTCCATGAGGCTTTGAACTTGAGATATGATTTGAGGGTCTGTGACTTCCATCTTTCCCACTCGGGGTGCTGTTCGTTGGAATTCCAGGAAAATGGTCTGCCATTGTTGATTGACGTTAATTGGTGTAGTTTTGGTGGAACATTTTATGCGTTTACCCCATGGTAGTTGATCTACATCCCGTGCACGGCTGACCTTCAGTCTTGCCTGTTTGGCCAGTCTCTGGCGCTTTGGAGCTCGTTCGCCATGGTCGGATTCATTGGCTAGAGTCCATGCCCAGAGACATTCCTCTTGCTGCAGTAGGTGAGGCAATTCACGGGGCTTTCGAATGCGACACAAACTCTTGGCCAGCTTGCGAGCAAACTTTCTGGGATAATTTTCAGAAAATGATGTTCTGAGCACCGTCTTGCCACCTACCTTGCACGACCCTGCGATCTGCTGGTGTGGATGTGAACCACGGCATTTCAGGCCTTCAAGCTCTTGACACAAACTTTGGCATGATGTCATGATGGTTAACGCCTTTCGCATGTGGTTCTGGGTGTCAGGGTCTCGCAAGTCACCTGCCATGCAAAGGTCAACTTCCAGCGATAGCAACATTTGTCGAATCTCTTGCATGTAGGGGAGTTTGAACATGTGAGAGTTCTGTGGCTGTTCCCAGTGGAAGTGGTTTTTGTGACTCCTTTGATATCTCATGAGGACAATACCCAAAGCTATTTGATCGATGTGTTGAAGTCGGTTATTTTGGAGGGCATCCCATGCTTCAAGAGACTTACTTCCATTCAGATTAGACCAACTGCTCCACGGACCACATTTTGGGGAATACCAGACATGTTTGGGCTTATGTTTTGTTAATACCTTGAACAGGCGCTGGCGACCTTCTGAGGTCTGCAGATCTCCTTCGGCAAGCCCAAAACGCATGGCTCGGTGTCCCATCTGTTGACACCGGTGTGTCAGCTGGCTTGATGGTCCGCAGAAAACTTCCAAAACATCGATCTTGGTTCCCCCGGGATTATCTTCAAGAATAACTTGTTCCAACTCGTGAGATATTTGTGATATCAACTTGTTGAACATCTTCCGTTCACGGTTGGTTTCGGGAGTAGCATGATGAATATGTTCCTCATTCATCTCATAATCACCAGCCTGGATGGACTGAGCCCAGCTGGGGCATTGATCTACTGGGGCTCGGTTGCCGGCTGGATGTTTTCCAGTGCAAGGAGAATCTGAGACAGGGCATTCTCCATGGACAGCATTCGGGCTTCCAATTGAGCCACATTTGGACTGGGACCCTCGGTGGCTGCTACTACACTCATGCCAGCTTCGATCTCGTCGCCGTACATCTCGAACGCCTCCATCTCTGTGGCATCCCACACTGAGATCGTTTCGTTCGGTGGTTGGGCCAGTTTCTGGGGCCACGCCTTGGCTTTCAGCTTCTCGATCTTCACACTCGATGGCACCCCTTTGTGGACAGGGATGCGAGTGCCTGACACATCGGCCCGTTCCACCATCAGTTGAACATAGTGGAGGATCTTCTGATGACTCTCCTTCCCTGATTTCTCGTACCTCCCGGCAAACCAGAGAAGCCACTCCTGATGGTTCAACCACATCTCGCGGTAAGTGCGACCCACATGGGCCTGTCCGAAATCCACCTTGGTCTCCTCTAACTGTGAGAGGCTCAGGTGACTGAAATCGAACTTGGCGGTTTCGCCTGGCACTTGGAGTTCCTTCAGGCGCTGGCTCAGGGAGGACATCACGGCGAACTCTGGGAAATCGAAAACTCTTGGCAAACGACACGTGTTTTGAGCTGCGAGGGTCTACCGGGTCTGTATATTCAGGACATGTTTCGGCTGATTGCAAAAATTCATCCAGGATGTTTGGGAAAATTTTGGAACCTGTCGGTGTTATTGAAGTCGATGTAGATTTCTCCCTGGGTGTGTCGGTTGTGATTGGCATGTCATGTGACGTGGCATGTTGTTGGTGATATGGGACATGTGTGCATGGCTCGGCTGCTTTGGATTCTGTACACGGCTTTGCACACGCTGTTTTGGTCTCTTCGGACACCTGATGAATCTCCGCGGCATGCTTGGACACGGTCGTATCCACGAGATCATTCAAATCCAAAAGAAACAACCCTCTATCTGTGAGCTGGATTGGAATCACCTTGTTGATCTTGGATGCAAAAATGGTCTTTTGGCTTGTGTCGATGATAGCACCAATAGCTCGCAATAGGGTGTTTGACAAAAGGAAAGGGGTTGACCCAGGCACTACTGCAACCTTTAACCATAACCCATGAATAGGTATTACCAAGGCTTGTTCACTTTGTAGTGTACCTTGATTCCCAAACCTAAAGGTAATGGCACATGGACACCTTCGGACAGCTTTTCGGGCTTCAGGGGATAAACCGTCTAAAAGATCTTTGACCAAATTGCTACCAATGACTGTCTTGGTTGCTCCTAGGTCAACTACCCCCATGCTGCTGTACGTTGCAAACATTGCTGCGTGTTCCGTCAAGGAACCTTGGTCAGGTCTGGTGCATGGATTGGCTGCCACAGGCTCTGGCTTGACTGTCGACCAGGACGTCGAGCTGTCTTGCACATCATGGGGCCTGGGCACGGCTGCAGTGGTTTTCGATGTCAACCATCTTTGAATTGATCTCTGGAGTCTATCCTTGGATTCCATTTTATCAACCCTTTCGGAATGGCAAACAAAACATTGGCTAACTGATGCTAGAGGTACATCTACGGCTTCTTCAAAGGCTGGCAGGTTGAGAAACTCTAGTGGCAGACCTTGCGCCTCGCTCTGCACTTGGACAAAGGACGTAGGAGCTTGAGGTCTGGAGGCTCCTGTGGCATCGTTCCTGCTAGGACATTCGGCCTTCCAATGGCCCATTTTTCCACAGATCCTGCATGTGGAGCTAAG